TTATCGATCTTTTAGATGGCTATTCTAGAAGTTTTATGACGATGACCTGGGCTGCTTCGGGTGAAAATCTATCGAATGGGTTTTTCCTAGCTCTAAACTGTTTTATCGTCACTTCATGAAAAGGAAGAAGTATTATTTGCGCTGTCACTTCTCAAGGGAAACCACAGTGCTTTGATCCTTAATTAATCCCAACACACTTTAACTGGCACATCTGGCACTTCCACATTTGAGACGTTCTGAATCCTGTCCAGTTGAAGAGCCACTCAATCGTTGACGGAGGCTCGAATCGCCTTCCGATTGAGCGCGGAGTACCAAAAAAAGGAGAATTTGCATATTTTATTAAATTCCCGCACAAATATCCAATCAATAATGTAGTATGCCATTCGCCGTATCCGGCTATCCCCGCGCTCCCCCGCCGTTCTCGTCCTTTGAGCACGGACGAGAGGCAAAGCCGTGGCAAATTAAGTATGCATACGTATTCAAATGGCTCACAAGCCGAAATATACACAGAGATATTGAAAGTCGAGGCAAAGGAAAGGGGGGAATCGGAAGGGATGGAGGGGAAGAGATGAAGGGGATTGAAGGTGAAGGGGAGGCCTCGGCTTTATGCCCAAGAGGAAGATTTCTGGTTTTTTCCAGATCCGCACCTCCGGACGCCCTTGTTCCAATCCTCTGTCTTGCAGCTTCTTTGTGGGCAAAGCAAATCATTAAATACGCCGAACCCCCCTCTCATCTCCTCTTCGACTCGTTATTACACAGTAAAAATAAGTAGCTTACCAATTTATTGGACTTTCATTAAATTACGGTGTATATTTATCAGTTCTTTAGGGAAAGTGAATATCCACATTTGTTATCTTTCGTCACTTTGTACCAAAATATATTGATAATGTCATGTTATGATATGAAATATATGAGTGACATTTAATATCACTGATTAGGTAGTAAATAGTAATACAACAAAATCAGGGACTATTTCGAAAAAATGTAGATAAAAGTTGTTAACATTTTCGGTTTGTATAACTTTTGAAGTTCATACAGTATAATTAAAATGTACTAATTTGTTTAAAATAAGAATAATATTCCTGAAAAAAAAATTATTAAATCGAAAGGAAATTATAAAACACAAAAACATATTAGTTTGTCATTTTGTATAGTGTTTTGTTTAGGTGTATCCTTTGGCCTTTTCTTCTTATTTGGCCTTTGTTTCTCTGGTTTGTCGCCACGCAGGAAATTTGGCACACTATCGATGGGGTGGTGTGTGATACGAAATTTTTTCGGCGGAGTCGGGTAGAAGATGCAAATGAATACAAACAAAATACCGCAAGCAGAAAAGATTATGCCTGGCATAAAAATAAATTAATGGCCGTGGCGTGTGTGTGACGGTAAGTGTGTGTGTGCGTGTGTATGTGTGTGTGGAGCAAGGACAAAGTAATGCTTCGCCTTAGGGGGTGTTGTAATAAGCGGCGACCCTCGTCCCACTTCCCCTTCGGGCAGCATTTTTTTCCTTTTATAATTTACTATGCGTAATTTCCTCGACTGCTTTCATACGTAAATATTTAATTTCCTTAATTTTGGAGGACTCTATTCGCTGGCCCACACTGCTTTCCGCTGCCCTGTTGGCTAGCTTTTTATTTCATTATTTATTGTTTTGCATTTCATCGCCAGGGCTTTTATGTTTATCGCTCCTTGTGCCAGCCAAAGTCCGTTCTGAGCTGGGCACACGCGGCGTATGCGCAACGTTCCTAGCACTTTGTGAGTTTGACGAAAGTTAAGTGTGCAAAGTGCTGTCAAAAGTTAAGATCCCGACACTTTCGGTCGTTATTTTGTTTCTTTGTTCTTTATAGAGTTTTAAGATCGTAAACGTTTAAAAAAAAAAATATGGGTATTGAGAAGCTCAGGTTGTATTTTTCAGCTTTCCCTTTAGAGAGCACTACATTTGATCTATCTTCCATGTACAGTTAAATTGGTTATTTCTTTGAAAATAGTTGAATATAATATATATGTACTAGAGGTCCTGTGCCCGCTTCGCTGGTCAACACAATTTAACAACATAATAGTCAATGTTGCACGTCCAATTCCTATTCGTCTAACAGCAGGCATTATTTCAAATTGTTTAAGCTCGCTCTATTTTTTGTTTAAATATTTTTTTACCGACTTCATCGATACACAAAATCAACGCAGCTATGATCTTTTTTTTTACATACAACATTGTGTACATCTGTTGAGCCGCTAGCGACTTTTCCAGAAGGTTTTCCCAAAATTTTCTTATGCTTAAACCTTCTTCTGGTTCTAAGCTATCTCCCTACCAATTTTCAGCCAAATCGGTCAAGCCGTTTTCATGTGATGCGATTGCGCACATATTTTGTCTCCATTTTTATATATATAGATATATGTATTTTTTGTATTTTATGCAATTTGTTTCTTTATAACGTGTCCCTTATTCACTTCTTTTTTCAAGACACTGACTCCATTCCAATTTTTCCATAAGGACACTGGGAACCCCTTTTCATTGTTTAAGGACTTTGACAGCCTTCTGAGAAAGATTTGCACTTTAGTGCAAAGAAGTGCAGTGGATGAAACTTTCGCACGCTATTTTTATTAGAGTCCCAAAGAAGAAAAAGTAAAGTTGGAAGTGCGCAGAGCATTTTTCTTGATTTCCATTTTGGTGCAGCTTTCCCTGCACTTTTTTTGTAAACTTAACCGAACTGAACTAAACTTAAACGCATCGGCATCCGTTTCTGGTCGAAAGCGGTTTATTGCAAAAGAAAAAACTTAAATAAAGTGGAATTACTTGTTTCAGGAATGGAATGGAGAGCAAGGATTTTCAAGAGTTGACAGTCAAGTCTGTTCCGAAGGAGTATTTTGCATATTCATTCTTCACTACTTTGTCGCCACTTGAAAATTGCGATTGACGGGCCAACTCTTGAGTTGATGGAAAAGTTTTCGGCCCAAGAACCCCATTCTTGCCCCCTTCTGCAATAGTTTGCCAGCTTTATACTTGCTCTCAATTAATTTTCCTTAATAGGAGTTCATTGCGGATCTCGTAATATCTTCCGCATTACATTTTCGTACTGAATAATTCCATAAATATTTCAATTTCCAATTATCCCAAATGGCGAAGCTTTTCTCGGGATTTTCCTGCCCATTAAAGTTTCCCCTACCGGAATTAATTGCCGCTAAAACTTGCTGGAAACGAAAATATTATTTTATGTATTATGTATTTTTCGAAAGCCAGCGTTGATATTAAGAAAAGTTTGCCTAAGAGGCGTAGCGTTCTATGGCATTTGAATGGTTCGCTGAGTGTTGGCGGGGGCTGTTCCACTAATGAGCCTATTGTTTGGCTGATAAAACGTGGCCAAGTTGGGGCCCAGAGGAACAGGAAATAGCTGCTGTTGTTGCCGAAGTTGTTGGCATTAGCAGAAGGGTTGAGCTTAGGGGCTTGAAAACTTTCGCTGGCCAATATACGTGGGCTGATTCAGAAGTTGGTTAGATTTGAATATAAAGTCAACTAGTTACTGGCTTAAATTAAATAATTAACTTTGCCCTTATATGCTTTTTGAAATGCTTCAAGAAAAAGTTTATATCCCAGTAAAGGAAAAAATATTTTTTACAAAAATCGTACATCGTATTGAAATAACTTAAAGAAATTTGGGTTATTGCAAACGTGTTTTAAAGTGACTTTTAATTTGCATTTTATATAGAACTAATTTATGAATTAGTTTGTACAATACAAATCGCATTTAAATATAACCATGAGTTAAAGTAAAGATTAAGTCCTATTGATTAACTAAGTGCATTCCTAGCGATACCTGCTATATTTCTTTTTTTATATTCTTGCAATACGCTTTTAATTACCATAATTTCCATGAATTTTTAATTTGCGGCTTACTATTGGACTCAGTTCTTCCCCTCATAAATGCAGTTAATTGTTTTCAGCTGAAAATCCTAATATTTTTATAAACTTTTCTAGCAGCTGGCCAAACAATTTTTCCGCTCTCATTTCTATGAAGCCCCCATTCGCCCTCCTCTTCAACTGATTCTATTTTCCTCTGCACCATTCTCAGTCCTCAGGGTCCTTGGCGATCTCCTTTAAAACGAATACGAAACTGAAATTGTAATTAAATTTTTGCCAATTCGTTTAATTGAGTTTTAAGCCGCAACTTCTGAATGCCCGAAATTGAAAGTCTCCTCCCAGCCGCAGATACTTTTTTAGCCAGAGTCTCTGGCGAACTGCTTAAATATTTTTGCCTGAGGTTGGCTTGGTGTGGTTCCTATTATATTTTTTGTGCATATTTTACGACCGCTCCTTGTGACTGTTTGCGCTGTAATTAAGTGCGTCTAATTTGTGTTAAGCGCTGTGCCACTTGAGCATCGCTTTTATTTTTCTCCTCCGATTTTATTTTTTAACCCGACGTTGCTCCTGTGTGCTTAACTTAAGCCCAGACGTTCCACCGACTCACAGTGGCGGGTAAATTCGAAAGAGTCGGTTTGGAGTGGGTAAAAGGCAGTCTGAACAGGGCTTTAAAGGTTGTCTGGGTACAAACTGCCGTTAAATTGCCACTTCCCCTGGGAATTTCATTTTTTTTTTTTTTTTGTGAAATGGAGGCAGACGAAATACAAAATTTTTTGAGTGATTTCTGTGTGTGATTCCGGTGTGCTTCAGAGAATTTCGAAGAAGAACTTAGGGTTGGATTCCATGAAGGCAATAATACCAGCAATTGAATGAAATGTAATTTGATATTACAAAGGAATAAAGTAAATTAAAGTTGAAAACAGTGTATTCAGTTGTTGAATAAAAAGCGGAATTTTTATGACAAAAATACATTTTATTTATTAGAATTGCCACTTTTTAGCTTATTCTTTTCCTTTATATTCAGGTTGCTATCTCCCATCTTCCAAATAATTTTAGTCTTTCATTTACATTTATTCTGCCTTATGTGTATATAAATTAATTTGTCATTTTTTTTTTAGTAGCAGGTAAGAATTTTCGTTTTACTTACCTCATTTCTTGAACTTAAATATACCAATTAAATAGTTAGCTTGAGTTTCACACTTTGCACTAGGTAACCACTATTTGTTTGCTTGCAATTTTGTAGTTTCTTTCCCGCACACAAATATTTGTATATCCAATTTATTTACTCGCACACTTTACCGGCATCTGCGGTGAAAATTTCGTCTCTTTTCTGGATTTTGTTTTCTTGAGCTCCGAAGTGTTATTTGTAGGTGGGTTTTAGCCACGATTGCAGCTCTCGGATTTGGCTGCTATCGTTACGCGTCCGAAACGGTAACTGTTCGAGTTTTTATCAGTGCGCTCCGTTTATAAGGAAAAGCCGAGCGGAGCTTTTCCCGAAGAGCTTTTCCTTTGCGAGCGAACGAAAATACGAGTGGAAGAGAGAATTTTGGCCCTATTTATTCGAGTTTTGACCAAATCGCAGGAGTCCTCCTTCTGTTTGCCGTCAATTGTTTTAAGTGCAACATATCGAAGCCAAAGTCAAACACAAACATTTCACATTCTTGGCAGTTTGTGTTTCTTGCTTCCTCGAAAAAAGCGAAGGCAAACAAAGTGCAAGAAAAACTGCATGCAAATCATTTCCCGCTTATAAATTATGCAGGTGCGAAGAGCAAACCGTTGCCAAAAACCAACGCGGTGAAGCTAAAAAAGTGTGCAGTATCCACCAGAAGTCGAGCATGTAAACTTCGATTTATCTCGACGTGAGTCTTGGTTTTGGCGTTTCTAAATTGGTACATTCGTTGGTGGAAAGTTTGACCAGCAACGCGATTTCGCTTCCCTTGAAAGGGTTTTTTATTGTCGAGAAACTAGACAGCATAGATTGAAAAATGATGCTAACTTTTTTTTCGGAATTCCTGGTTAATGTGAATGTAGGGAAGTGATGTTTTTCACTGAGTTTTTACACACCATTAAATATTACAGTTTTAAATTGCAATGCAAGTAGAAACAATAAAAAATAATAAAGTATTCCAAATTACGTTGTTAAAATATACTGAATATACACTGCTCACTTAAAAAACAAATTATTTAAGTTCCCCGTTTTCCCTTGGCTCTGCAATTGAACGTTGGTGTGTGCGTTTCGAGCGGAAACGGAAATGCCGGCCATCGCAGTGGCAAGTGCAAAAAGTAAACCAACGGGATGGAAGAGGCCAGCGTGTTTTGCCCATGGCGACTTCGTTTCGGCCTCCGTCGAATGCTCCCACTGGCTTTCTTCTTCTTTTTGTGTGTCCACTGGGCCTGTGTCATATGCAAATTCCAATTCATGGCGAGCAGAATAAACTAAGAAAGAAAAAGGTCAGTGGAAGCAGCCGCCTTCAAGCGGGGAATATAAATATCGATTAGTTAATATCAAACCAGCTGACAGGCTGACAAGGACCTTAAGGCGACATTGAACTTGTCTAGCCAAGAGCGAGAAAGAGCGAGTGTTTCCGGCCAATTCCCTCTCGTTCCCACTCACACAGGCGCACCAATACAAACACATCTGCAATGGCCTTTGCATGATTTAATTATTTGTAGCATACTTTTGTGCGCCGACCAAAACTTCACACCTGAGTGCACAATGGAGTGGGGCCGAGTGGTTCAGCGGGCGAGTGGTGCAAAACTTTTGCCACTTCTGCATTCAGTGCGGTGCAGAGCCCAGAAGTTGTTGTTGAAGGACCAACCTCTGCGGTTTTTGGGCCGAGTGCCCGGGTTTTCTCAGAGCGGGTCCCGAATGTCTCAATTCATTTTACGCCACACAGCGCCTCAAGTGGAGCGTGCCATGCAAAAAAGGGCTGCCAATGCGGGTTTCGGGCCATGGGTCTGGATACCCCTTGCTGGTAAAACTCTAGGGTGTACCCTTCCTAAAGGAATTTACGTAAAGAGTAGGTACTACTACCATCCACTCAAAGTTTGCGTTTGCATATTTTGCTCAGATAAGATTTACTCAACTGACTTTAGTGTTATAATAATTTAAAACCCATTTCAAGTAATCATAGTGTATATTATGTTAAATATAGTGTTTCTTTTCAGTAACAAAAAATGTGTGTATTTTATTTATTGCAGACGGCAGTGACTTTTCGATTCTGTACTTCTAATTGCACCTAAAGTTTTGTGGTTACTCGAATACCTTTAAGTGTTCAATAAGAAGTTACGATACCTTGGGTATCCCAAGTTCGAGGATCTCAACCAAAGGGCTTTTCTCAATCTGAATGGGTTTCGGGTTCGCCATTTGGGACAAAAATAAAAACAAAACGAAATTTGTGGGGGGTAGCGGCAAAAGTGCAAGCAACGCAGAAAAGGACTTTGGCATCATTACAATTTGTTGATTTGCTTCGTTAAACAGCAAACAACACGGACGATGGGCGGAGGAATGAAAGTGCGGACTGAAGTTGAAACAACGGCGACAGTTGAATGAATCAAGAGAGCATAAAGACCCAAGAAATGAACGCTAAGTCAGCCGGGGGCCAGGCTTCCCATCTCACCTCCAGCGTCTTTTCGCGTTATTCAGATGGCGGGTGCATTGTTGCTTATTTGCGAAAAAGCAAGCGCGAAAAAATGAGCAAAATAAGAAAACATAAAAGACCCAAAGGCGGCAAATAAACAGTGGCGGTAAAATGAAAACCGACAGGAAAAAACTGTCGAGGCGCTGAATTCACGACGTCGCCTTCAAAGGCGTCGCCGCGGGCCCAAAAAATTGTATCTTTTCTTTAAACAGCGAGCAGTGTTAGCTTGGCCGCTAGTCTCCAGTTTCCGAGGAGGTTGGTCTTGAAAGAGGTTGGATTAAGGAGGTTGCAGTGGCGCTTGCAGGTAAGAAATGGTGCCAAGCAATCATGGCTGACAGAAAATAAGGAACTCATGGTGCGTTAGGAATTCATGGAAGTGCGCGGAGATTTGTTTTGCATATGCAACATTTTCCGCAGAGAGACGGACTATAAAAATATTCAAATTTAAGCAGCTTAAACATTTTGCCATTGTTTCTATAATCTAATATATAATTAAATAATTTATAATCAGCCACATTTGTTACTTTTCATTATCATTCTTTATTGCAATGCAGATAAAGGTTAAAGTTGGCGCCGTTTACTTTTCTTTGTTTATTGCCATAGCATATAACCAACAAACTGGCCTAAGTTTGTAAACTTTGCTTCCACAAGTTGCTCTTCTGTTCCTTCTTACTTTTTATACTATCCGCCTTTAAATTCGTCCTTTTCAAGCCCCTCCTCTAATTGGCCTTATCATCTCTGACCCTCTTTACACAATTAGATTTATTTGCAAATTATAAGTTGAGTTGCACGGCGCCCTGCCATCACAATTCCTTTGTATGAGTCGCCGCAGATTCTGCAATAAAAACGTACCAACTTGCCGGTTCGCAATCGAGGCGTAATTAATTGCATAATTTTTGGGTTGAATAATTAGCATTTAACTTTAGATTGGTTACAAAATTTGCGAGCCAAGAGAGATAACAAAAAAAGGTTCATTGGACCGCTCATTAAATTAGTAAGCGGATGTGCCTCAGATTTATGTTTTTTGATACATCCATTCCTCCGGCGGTTTTTTGGACACGAAGTCCACTTGGCTTAATAGCATTTCTAATGAGTTTAATTTGAATATCAAATTGTGTGGGGAATTTTTCGCGTTTGACTGCTTGCTCTTATTAAAATAATCGCACCTCTCTCGTGGGCGGGAAAATTGAGAGTTGATTGATGCGCCATTAGGAACTTCATGTTCAGAGACCTATATTCCCTAGGGGTGGCTTCGAATACTGGAAAAGTAATTATCCCCTGGTCGGACATGTTAATTGCTTTCTGTTGCGGAATACATAAGTTCTGGACTTTCCGATAAGAAAATTATCCTCTATGAAAATTACCTTTTAGCTTAAGTGGTCAGCGATGGCGATGAAAATTGAGTTGGCCAGACCGGAAGACAGGGTTATCATTTTCTCAATTGCACAGTGGTAAATAAGCTAGTGAAATTATAAGATGAAGAAATAAATTAATGTTTGTTTTAGTATAATGTTTTATTAAATATAAACAAATTAAAAGCAAACAAAAATGGTAAGGGGATCTTGCACATATTGTCGTATATGAAATCTTCTTATGAAATATGAAATCCAATAAGCAAGACTTTTAAAACTCTTCTTTATTATTTATTAATTGCGTGTTAAATGGGTCACTTTTGAAATGCTCATTTTGTTGCCCAATTTCACTTTCAAATTTGTTTTTCGCAACTCTTTTACCAAAGTGTTAGGGGGACAAGCCCCTCTTCGTGTCACTGCAGCTGGTCAAAGTAAATGCTTTTTGATCGGCAAATAACCAACTTCCGCGGTTAAGAAAACTTTTTCCAGCAGCAGCGGCGTTTGAAGTCGACAAATGACGATTAGCACATCGCGTCAGCAGGTATTGTTGCTATTGCTACCGCTATTTTCTGTTTCGGCTGACACACACACCTGCACACTCACCTGCACACACACTTAGCCACATTGCCGACACTTGGCCCGTGGTCTGAGATGGGCGCATTCACGTTCGTGATCGGCATGGGCACTACAATATTTTGAGTTTCATTTTCAGTTGATGAACAGAGCGCGAGCGAATAAGTCACACGCGGCTAAAAATTGCACAAAATAGCAGAGAAAAGCAGCAGCGAGAGTGAAAAGTGTAAGCAACACATAAAAAAGAGAAAAGTGCAAAATTAAACAAAATTAATTCAGCCAATTGCAGTGCTATGAATATTGGTTGTTTATTGATTCTCCCCTTAAATGTGTTTAACTCGTGATCGACCCTTAACACTGTACAAACCTAAGCAATATGAACAACTGTGTGAACATGTAATATATAATCACCAATTTCATTTGTTGATGCCAAAGCAATCAAAACGAATTAACGACAAGTTGAAATGCATATGACTTTAATTAAAATTCTTACAAACTATTCAATCAAGTCCATTGTCAAGACCGTTTAGTGAGTGATGAATTGGTTAAGACTTAAAAGATTTATAATGGAACACTTTGTGCTTAGGTTGGCTATCATCTTAATTGATAATTGATAATAAATAAAGCCACCATTCTTCAGTGGCTTCAACCAATAAGATATTAACTCTTCTTAATCAATTTACAGCCGGATGTTTGTTCTTTAGACCAACACGTCTCTGCGTATTTACAAAGTTGTTTTGGTTTAAATCACTTGAGCATGAAAATATGTGATAATTGAGAGTTGAACATCTTATCGTACAAGCCAAAATAATTAATTTTTTATCTAGATAGCTGACATTCCCGAATGTCTTGTCTTGACACATCGTCTAATGAATTGCTATCTTAAGTAAGAGAAAACGGAAAGATTCTTTGCATCTACAGCTCACTTTGCGAAAATTCCTCTTGCGAATTTAGAAGGAAATGATTCGGTTTGTCGACCAGAAAACAAATTACATTTTGCGGTCTGAGTTCTGATTTTTTCCCAGGCATTGAATTTACATTTGATTTTCGGTTATGGGATCCGTTTTATTTTGGTTTTGCAAGCATTTTCCGTTTTGCTCAATTCGTTTGCATTGCGTAAGGTCGTGTATTTGCCATTCATTTTGAGGCGATTTGTCTCGCCAAGATATTTAAAATTTGTTAACCGAAAAAGCTCGGAAATATCTTGGCTAAGAGTCAGGGCCGGCCACAAGATGACAAAGCCTAAAAAAGCTGTAAGAAAAATATGAATGAACATAAAGAGAAGTTGCTCATTTGACAATGTTTTCACAAAATATGTGCCAACAGCGAAATGCAAAAGTTTGTTCGTTTTTTGCCAATGTTTACATTTCATTACGAAAACTCTCTTTGTCAACTTTGGAGAGAGTTGTGCAATTTTATTATTATTTTTACGAAACAGTTTTTGCCCATAAAAAATTTGTTCCCCCTACATAACAAATCCAGGTTTATTTTATTTTGTTTTTTATTTTATATACAGTAATCTTGTTTGCCATATGTAGACAAAAATATGGATTATACTGATTTTTTGAGGTGAAGTAAAATTTGTAAGTTCAAAAAGTCTGACCTTTTGGCACGCTTTAACCATTACGATCAGATTATTTTTAAAACTTGCTGTTTACTTGCTGTTTATAGCGTGCCAAACTTATTCGCAAACTGTTAAAAAATCCATCCAAAAGATTGTATACATTTTATGCTTATACTTGCGTATAATATTTATGACGCTTATTTTCGCGGTTTGCTTTACGCAACTGAGAATGTGCTAAACACAAAGATGAATCCCCAAATTTTTCGCTAATTGGCGGGAAAATGATTTATAACAGTTCTGTAAATTAATTATGGATGTGCTCCCTTTTCGCTCGGTGATGAAATTGGATCGACAGATGATGAGCTGCGATCTGCTTCTGTTCGGCGATAAGACATGATTCTAGTTCACTTCCACATCTCCGGATACGTTGAAGTCTGACACTTAATTGAGGTCAGATCGCGGGGACTTTGACACGTTTTGGGAGCACAGCTGAAGGCCGTTGCTGCTGCGAAATGTTGAATCATGTTTTAGTGCGTTTACAGGTAGTTAAAACACGGTATTGTGTGCATTATTACAGTGCAAAAATACGAAACCAGTTTGGGAATGGACAATAACAAAGAGGTTACATAACGCGCGGTGCAATGAGGCAAGCTACTCGTAAAATGTATTTTAGTATGCCCGGTCTGTTACCTGTCTGTGCTTTCGAAAACCAGTTTCTATTTGGGGGTTCAACTCGGACTCTTTGTACACCAAAAAACTCTCTTCGTCTAAGGCTTCGGTCACGTGCTCGTCTCCTCAGACTCGTTATGAAAATTTGGACCTAATGGAAATAAAATTTCAGCTAATAAGTTAACGATGGCTATATGCTCTTTCAGCTGTTCAAGTATGGGCCATGTGTTTTGAAATGTTTAACAAGGTCGGCGCCCATTAAAGGTTGTGAGTGGAAAAAAAAGTAAAACAAACTAAAAATAACATTGGAGTTTATTTGTATTGCCTATATTAATTGGGTTTAATACTGAAAAATAGTTATTTACCAGCTTAACGTTGTGTAAATACAGCAAAATGTATTATGCTAATTTCCTAATAAGCATTGCTTTGAATATAAATTTATTGAGAGCATTTCCTTAAAGACCATTTGGTGTGACTTATATATTTTTTTACGAATTATACATGTTCCGCTTGTTACTAAATTCGGTGCCTGTTTGTGCCAGTGTCTCGTAGATTTTTATTTGAATTTCTATTCAATCTGCGAATTTTGTGCAGATCATTTGGAATCGTTAATGGTTTGTTGGTGTTTGCTGTCACGTGAGCGGTTGTATATTCATATAAAAATCAAGTGAAACGCGTTACTCCTTCCAGTCGGCTTTTGACCTCCCAAGGTTGGGTACTCTTGCTGAAAAGATCGGTTCGGGAAAGCAGTGTCATTAGAGCAATTTTCCCTTAATAATAAGTTAATGGAATCATACCCAAGGGATCGTGCTTGAAGGTATTAACACTTCGTCTAGAGTTTTGGTTATCATGAATTAGATTTAAATTAATATATGATGGTTCAAAAAAACCGCGTCCGATTCAAGCTATTCAAAATCATTAACTGCAGTGCTGATCTTATCTTAACCCAAATCAATTTGTTCACTCTAATTATCGGTTAATAACCCGTCTCTTCGTGTATCTGTTTTCCCTATTTTCCTTGACAGCACCCCTTTGCGAATATATGAAAGCGAACACAAGCTTTAAGATACATTTATGAGTGCTAATAAAGTGTAAAGACTGCTAACTGGCGTAGTGTGAACAATGATAAAGATGTGAAGTGAAGTGTCGTGGCCTAAGTAAAGGAATACCAGGAAGTATTGCACCAGCTTGCCCCAGTTTGAGTTAGTCACCTTTAGTATAAAACCGCACAATGAATGCCAGCGAGGATTATTTATCGATGGATCCAACGGAGGAGATATCACAGGTCTTGGATCTGCAGGAAAACAAAACAGAAACCCTGCGAACACATCCAACTGTTGCCGAGTATTATGAAAGTGAGTAAATGCTTTTAAAATATAAACGAATCTAATTTAACTAGATACATGTTAATAAATTGATTTCTATTGCCTTACTGGAATGTTAATGTTAGATTAATGGAAATTGTTACTAATACCTTAGTCAAAACTAAAATAAACACTTTACTAGTATTATGAATCTTTCGCCCTGAAATGTAATTCTGTTCCTCCCTGCTAATTGGATTTTCTCAAACTCACTCACAGACATGACTGCCTTCGTAAGCCTGGCCATCTTCGTAGCCAGTCTGCTCACCATCCTCAACATCTGCATCTTCGCCACGACGGTCTCACGGTTGCGTCGCCACCTGAGCAAGTCGCTCCTGAGCCCCTCGATTATAATGGTCGCCCTGTATCCGATTATCTCGCTGGCTGCCCTGGTTACCATCCTGGTGCCATACTCCTGGTTCATCTGCCACACGGTGATGCACGTGATGTTCATGGTCGGCGGACCCGTCTTCCGCACCCTGCTCTTCCGTTACGTGAACTCGGAGCAGAACTACGTGAAGGAGACCGCCGGGGAGGCGGTGCAGCTGAATACCCCGCCCTGCTGCTGCTGCTGCCTCTGCCTGCCGATGGTGATTCCCACCAAGGCCAAGCTCTGCATCTCCCGATACATGGTGAGCTAAGAGGAAGACGGGTTTCAAAGAGGAAGTCTTATTTTAGATTGCCTCTCTCGACAGGTCTGGCAGATGCCCTTCTGGCAGGGCTCCATCATGCTGGTGATGAACATCCTCTACTACAGGGACATCCAGCTCTACCGCCAGGTCATGTTCTTCTTCATCCCCTTCATCGTGTGCTCCATTGTCCTAGGGTAAGTAGATCCTTTATTTTACCTGAAAAGAGTTGTGAATAAGGTGTGTTTATTGATTAGCGTGTGGTCCCTTCAAATCACGGTGCGGATGATCACAAAAGTTCGCGGAGATTATCAGCTAAGGAAGAAGATGTTCTGCCTCCAGTTAGTTGTTATGCTTTGCAAACTGCAGTATTTGATTCTGTACGATCAGCTGGACGGCATCAAAATGGGAGGGGAGTACCCCATTAATCACACCGTCTACAAGCAAAGTGAGTACCTCTATCGAAAATCAGAGTGGTTGGAATTAAACTATGAGTAAAATATAACTCTAAGCTTTAAAGCAATTATTTCAAAGTTTTGAATTTAATTTTATAACGGATTAATTTTATTTTCAATATTTTTTTAGCTATCATAAACATCTTAATCCTAGTGGAAATGGTGCTGGTCTCCATGATGGTTCAGAGTGCATATCGTACTCCCATTCAAGTTCAAATCGACGAGGTCAACAAGGAGAAGGAAGTAACTCGCATTTGAGTCTGGGCGTTGGTAGAAAGTAGAACAAATTGTGATAAATTTAATAAAGAAAATGTAGTTAAATTTATTTTGTAATAGTTTGCTCTTAACAACTTGCTTTAAATAGACTAAAAACGGAATTACTTCATGTTTGTTTGTAATCTAATTGAATGAGGAATGGTAATGATTTCCAAAAACCTGTCCAGCTCAAAACTAAGTGCTGCCTGTAAACCAAACTTAAAGAGCCAACACGACGGAGTAAATCTCACTTGACTCGCTGGTTTAACAAAAAGCGCCACAAATCATGTGTTCCCAGTGAAACTTGGTCAGTTCTTCGCTGGGAGCACCACCCACTTTTACCCACTTTCACCCACTCAGCCCCCTTTGAAATGCGTGTCGCGTTTAGCTCATAATTCTCCCTGCGGCATTGCGGAGGGTCGAGATCCGTTTTACATTTTTCAGCAGGACAAACAAAACGCCAGGCGACTTAGACCAAATGCCCAAGTGCCATAAAAACACAATAAATATAATATGAAATATCTGGGCGCATATACATCTTCCTTTCTGTTTAGATAGCCTTTCTGGATAACTCAATTGCCGAGGCAGCGCGGCCATAGGCCAAAGGACGTCGCAACTCGGGCTGGAAAATGCCGGGAAAATCCAGGAGACGGGCCAATATGATTGGAGGGAGTGGCCGGCTCTGGAGCTTTACCAACATCAACAACAACAACATTCGTGTACTGCAAGGCAGTGCGTTGAAATTTATGATTTATTTGAAAAGAAAGTACATTGTGCTCCTCCCAAATAAATCACACTAAAGATGCTGCCAGCTCAGAAACCAAACGAAGCAGGAGGAAAAAGTGGCAGGAGATTCTTGTTTGGCGGGAGGATGACTATGACCGTCGGGCAATGAAAATCAAATATAGCGTTGGGAGCAAAAGGCTCCCTAAGCTGAAAATACCCTTTAATGGCAGAAGCATTTAATAAAATTTTTATGAAAAAAATCAAAAGGAACAAAGCTACCTTCCAAAAATATTTAGTGTTCTTTGCTGTGATTTGGCAAACTAGATTAGATATGATTGGAATTACATGAGGTGATTTGATTTTGAGAATTTAAAATCTTAGTATATGGCATTAACTGTTGAATATTAAATTAAAAACTGTTTTGGAAGTTTTATGCCTGTTTTAATCGATTAAACCTAAAAGCACAGAGAAGAAAAGTTCCTGATATTAATTTTTAAGTGTTTAATAACTTTAACTCTAACTCGAATCCTTAATTTCAATTTCTAATCTTTAAAACTCTATTCCCAACTTGAATACCAAATGATGTGTAAATATATAGAGGGTATTAACAGCGGGTTTTATGACGGCGAGAGGATATCGGGTACCGAAGGAAGGAGCAGTCGAGAGCCATAGTCTTGCGTCGCTGGGCTTGGTTATCTTATCGCTCTTTTATGATGTACACAACGCCGCAGAACGCCAGCTATGAGCAGCCCATGGCAGCCAAGGTCCTGGGCCACCATTGCCACTTCGCCTCCGCCACTGTGCCACTCCCTCCCCCTCCTCCTCCCTTGGCCAACCACTCTTGGCCTGGTCGAGATGTCGCTTTTTATGAAGACGCTTGTTTGCTCCGTTCGCCAGAGCTTCAACTGCCATCCTGCTGGCTCTGACTTGACTGAGGCAAGTAAATCAGATTAAGTATCCGCTGCTCATTTTGATGAGTTGTGGAGACGACCAGCCAACGAACCTTAGCGCCATTTATTGCGGACTCTTGATTTCATATTGTTTCCGCATGTGGGAAATGGAAACTTGTAATTAACAATTGCTTTAGAAATGTAGAAATCAAATTAGGAAACAATTTGACTTTTAATTTGAGTCATGTTCTAACCAAAATTGTTCTGCAAAGAACTACCTTGTTCTAAATAAGTTGACCAATAAAAAATTGGAAATTGAATCCATTAATTTGCAGTTCCCTGTTAAAGTGGAAATGGTTAAGAGGACTTAATAATCACTCTATACAATTATGCTCTTTGCTGCTTTTGCTTTTACCATTTTAGGTTAGAAAATTAAATTTTCCGATCGATTAATTTTTACTTTGGAATTTATTTAATGACAAACCAATTTTTTTTAGTGCTAGAGCCTGAATGTAGACCATCATTTTCTGTTGAACCTAACTTTGCCATTTTGATTTCGCTTCAAAACAACTTCAATTTTATGTAGCTGACTTTCGGGGTGCATATAAAATTCATAAAGCTTTGCGGAGGGGAAAGTTGTCGGGGCTGCAAAATTAAAGACACCATTCTGTGTTTGCCACCCGCTTGAAGACGCTTTGTGTCTGCCATTGTCTACGCTTCTTGGCCATGTCCAAACACGTTAGGCCCTCGTCTTGGACGGCATGGGGGATTGGGCTGAAAGCTGTCTGGGCCCGGCTGTCAGTGTGTGTCTTATGTCACTGTCCATTAGACGCCGTTCGGCCTTTAAGATCTCCCCACTTTAACAGTGTCTTTTAAATCCGAAAACGGACTACATTTCATGGCTACTTTATTGCGACAACACTTAGACAAATTAAATAATGCGCATACGCAATGTGGTGCCGCTGCTTAATTTTCTTAATAGAAATTATAACACAATATTTGTCATTCACAGGCAATTTAACAAATTCAAGTAGGAGCTCATCGCATTGGATCTCATTTCTCATTCGCTTCCTTGGCCCCATTCGGAATTTTTCCCCCACTTTTCCTCCCCAGGAATTTTATGATTATTGACAGCCCCATTTTCGTTGACTTGACTTTGCTTTCCGCTTGTTTTTCTGCGTTTTCCTCGCTTTGTTCGGCTTTCCTTTGCCTTTTGTTTAAGGAGAACCTGACTTCTGGGTGGACCATTTTGCTGGTGCTAAGTAAATAAGTTTTATGACATTTCTTTTCTTACTTTTTGTTGCTGTTTCTGATGCCGTTCGCCTCGTAAAATCGCAAACGTCTGCGCCTTATACTTGATTGATTTCGATGGGTGGAAGTTGACGCCTGATTTGAGGCACTTACTGATGGCCGAACATAAGGATCAATAAGCGGAATAATTCATAGGCTGGCTGGCGCAAATCTCAAGCTCCTAGCATATGTGATTCCATAAAAAATCGAGATGAAACCGAAAAAAAATCTACTACCGTATATATTATATCCTTATGCAGTGCTTTTTCATATATTTGATATATTTAATATTACTTGAGAGAAATCAAAAGAATTTAACCACATTTTTTTCTCAAGTGATCGTAAATATTTATGTCTTATCAAATAAGGCAAATATACTTAGTATAATTTAATTAAAATTTTGGGGGCCAACGTTGACTTTTCCGGTCCCAAGTCAGCAGGCCAAACATCCACACACACACTTGAGCTTTTCCTAAGCCGGGAATTAATTAGTGCTAAGCAGCGAAGAGTGAAGCGCCCATAAGAAAAATATTTGCGCATGTTCGGGCATAATTAAAAGGGTTTGCCAACTGTTCCCCGCTGTTTTTTTTCGGTCGACAAGCCCCAAAAGGAAAAGTAAAAGAAAAATATGCCTAAGCACTTTCGGTAAAGTTTTGATTTTTTGTATCAAATTAGGAACTCAATTTCACGTCATGATCGACAGTGAAGATTACCTTTTAAAATATAATTAATATAATTAATGTAAGTCAGTAGTATATAAGAATATTTTATTTTTTGATAGCTTTGACACTTGGTTAAAAAAAATAATAATTAAACTATTTATTAAATATTTTTAAATATATTTATAATAAATCGAAACATTTTTAAACAAACACTATTTTATTTTGTTCTTGAAAAATTTGAAATTAAAAATGTAATAATTTTGACAAATCTCTCCACCTTTCTTAGTAGTTATACTATAATCTATTCTCTTTGGAAATACCATATTCCTTCGCCTACCTTTGGGCAAACCCCCGCCAAAGATCCCGAAACCATCGGAAAGCCCGAAAGGACCAGCTCAGCTTTAACGAGTATCCCGCTGGTCCAGTGGCCGTCTGGGAGTCGCTGCCTTCTGCTGAGCACTCAGTTTAACAATGGCAAACAAGTAAAACGCTACGAAATCCGCTTAAAGAGCATTTGTATGTAATGGCAAGAAAACGAGCAAGAAAAAGAGGAAAAGCAACAGCATCCAGGCTGCATTGCCATGCTCGAGTTTCCGCTTTTTGTTGTTTTTCTTACACCTCGGCATGCCTCCATTAGGGGATTTTGCATAAGTGACAAGGCTGGCAGAGACCCCGACTTTCTCCTCCCCCCTCCCCCCGTCAGCATACATATGTGTCTCAGTGTGAGTGGCTCGGATAAAGCCTGGCTAATGCAGCACACAGAGACAGGCATAAGGCGCTGGTAACACGACACGCTTGTCAAATGCTCCCCTGCCGAGGTCGATGGACATCGCTGGAGATGAGGCTGCACTGGTAGCAAATCATTTTTTTTATATTTATTAATAATATTTATTATAATTATAGCATAACCAACCAACAGGCAACGAAAAATAAAATTAAGCCTATAAGTTTTTCAATTTTGATATTAGCTTTTGTAATTTTAATATGGGTTTTCTCTATCAAACCAGCTGCACTGTTACAAATAATTCCCTTAGTTTTAATTTTATTAATTTCTTTTATTTCTAACATTTTTAAAGACCTAAGAATACAAAAAAAAAAATTTTTTTAAGACTACTTTACTTTCACTTAAAAAAAATATCATACCTTTTTTATGTTGAACTAATAAATATGTATCTACAATTAAAATCCATATATTAGTTAGCAACCTAATCACAAAAAAAAAAAATATGCATTTTAGTTTTCTCTTGTGTACAAATTCACAGACTCAGATCTGACGTGGCTCAATTGCATTAAGGCGTTGGGGAAATTCGCAGCATCAGCAGAAACTACTTTAATTGAATGGGGACGCCGCTGGGATCTGCCGCTCCTCAGAAACAATTGTTCGGACCGTGCACTGTGATTGGATAAATGATTAAGTAGTTTGCAATTAGACCAGCGGAAAGTTTTGTGAGATTAATTTAATAAGTTTTTTGATATGATTGGGTTAAATAAGCGGAGTCTTTCTTAGGAGTGACAGTAATAAGTCGAGGATCTGATTAATTAGGTTTGAAAGTTTAT